GTATCGAATAAAACGGGTCAAAATCGAATGGATTCAATTATCGAATTGCATAAAAATTCTAAATTATAAAAATAGTAACAAAATGGCGGCTTCATGAATATTCAAAAAATCATATCTCTTGGTTTCCATATCAGAAGAACAAGGTTTGCATTTTTATACTCCTCATGTGCAGTTCTTTCAAATGCGCCAGTTAGAATTTTCCATTGAGGATAACTTCGATTTTCCGTTAAAATTGATGACGTTATTTTCCCGCCAAAAATGTCGAAATTCAAAAAAGTAAAACGAAAGAGTTGTGAAATTTGTTAAACTCTTCAGTGTTACCAAATTTCAAGAATTTTTAATGAAACACAAAAATGTTTTGCCAAATTGAAACATTTTTTAGCCCTTCTAGCCCGACGTGTCGTAAAGTCTTCAAGTTTCATCACTCGATGTCTGGAAGATAGGCTTGGATAAATAAAACCAAAAAAGTAAAAATTCCAAAATAATGTTGCTAATGTTTTACTAAACGCATCCCACATGGAAAGGAGTGAGAGTGCTTTCAAAGCCATCAGCTTCGATTCTCAAAAATTTGAGTTTGCTGGTCATAACAAGGGTTAATCATCTACGGCTTAGGGCCCGACTAACCTCTTCCTTAGGCTTCTGCCGAGCTTCCTGATCAGTCTGTAACTTCTCGGATAGCGGTGTCGGGGCCGAAATCTCCGGCGTAGCCGTAAATGCTTCGCGCTGCCATACGACGGTTCAGCACTCGATGTATGGAAGTATGGTCCTAAATTTAAAAAATAAATAAATTATTTAATTTAATTAAGATAAATAAATAAATCAAGAAAAGAAAAGATACATGCACTATAAACCACCGAAAACCCAGAAAACCAGTGCGCATCCAGTCCGTGGAAAAGGCTCGGTGCTGACCAAGGGAAACGCTGGCTCAGGATAGGAAATTTGATGCCAGATTTTCCGGTCTGCTAAAAAAATAATCTTTGGTTTTCAGACAACTTCATGGCTTCGAAATGAATACGTTATGGCTTGGTTGAATAAATTTATCATGAGGTTTTTTTTTCTCTGAAACGGTCTTCATTTTCGTTTCCCTTTACCACAGGAAGCCCGCGCTACAACTTAAAGATATTATAACTATACAGTATCTGCGTCTTTTTTGACGGAAATACCTTTGCTAACCATTAAAAGGCGTTTTCAGTGCTATATAGTTTTAATTCACCGAAATATAACAGAATTTTCTAGGTGAATGATCTCTGATTCCCGTAGCGGAGCGAGTTACGTCACATTGATCATGTTCGCGAGTTTCTTAGAAAAACGGAAATCAAATTTTTGCAAGTAAGCAAAGAAATAATTGTGCTAAGGAAGCACAATAAGACTTATAATATATTAATGATTTTTTAACATTGAATTTTTAGTTCAAAGAGGGATTTTTTTATGGGGATTTTTTTGCTGATTAAGCGGCCGCGCTGTGAAAGGAAGTCTGAGATCGAGTACTAAAAGCACTGCGTCTGTCTTCACGACCAACATGGCGGACGACGAAGAAACTTTGACTTCAATCAACTCTACTCAGCCTAGAATCGTTTATATTCGACTAGGGAAAGACAAAACTAAAGATGATATACAGGATGAGATTTTTAAAGTGGTTAGGAAAGCGTTAAAGGGTACAGAAGCGAGTGAAAATGGAGGACAACAGGATAGAAACGTGGTGGAGTTGCCGGACTTTGATGCTCGTGGGATACAAGACGTAGCCATAGGAAGAGATTATGTTGGATTGCTTTTTAAAGATGGCCGAGTTTGTAGATTTAAGTGTCTTTGTAGAAATATAAAGCCTTCTACGAAACGTAAGGCTTCGCCAAGTTCGGAGGAACAAACTTTTCAAGTTCAAAGTGATGAAGCATATGCAAGACGTTTGCAGGATCAACTTAACGCTAGAAACCTTAGTACTTCTGCTTGTGGCTCTTCTGCTGCTTCTAGTGTCTCTGAGGAAACAATGTTTGGCTTAACAGAGCCGCCATTTAGGTTTGGTATGCCTTTAAATGAATCAAATCTCCTCGAAAGTGCTAATATTCCAGCTGAAATATCTTCAAGCAGCGCTGAACCTCTGGCAAACGTACCAGAATCAGACTTTGAAAAAGTAACGTCTTTGATTTCTGAGATTTCTRGGAGTTCTGAGAAAAGTGGGACTCAAAATGTGGTAGAAAATTCAGAGAACAAAAGCTTAAGTTCTACACAATTAAGCTCAACTTCTGAAATAGCTAGTGCTTCAACTAGTTCAAGGAAGCAAAATAATGAAGCTTCAAATCAAACTTCTAGTTGTACAGAAAAGTCTTCGAGTAATGTCAAAAACTTATTCAAGAGCTCATCAGACTCTACAAGCATTGGTAGTACAAAGGAGGATGAAAGCATTCGCTCAAGAAGCTTGTCAGACCTGAACTCAGCATCTTCAGCAAGAACTTCAACACTTAATGTTGGACAGTCTTCTAGTCTTACAAATATCAATACCACTAGAGAGACTGTCCAGTCAACATTAAGTTTTATGTCTCGTAGACCACCCCCTTCTCCAACCGTTGTCCACAGAACTATCTTAACAGCAGATCCGATACTTCTCAGGACCTCGCGGCCTGTTTTTATCCCATCTCATGTTCTTATCCCTTCTTTCTCACAAGCTTCGACTTCCGTTTACACGTTTGATCCCAGAAGGCTTAGCAGTACATTTGCTTCAAGGCCACCTATTCGTGTGTTTCAAAGATCAGGTCGCAGACAAATAGCTAGTCCACATGAATATCGCAGGAGTAGGGATAGTAATGTATTGCGGAGAGATCGTGGGAATGGTAGTGCTACAGAACAAAGTGTGGAAGAATCTGCTAGTGATTTTCATTATCCCGACATTGAAGAAATTGAATGGTTACAAACAGAAAATGTGAGTTTTATTGAATTTAAGTATGATTTTAGGCTTGAATATAGAAATTTGTGTGCTGTGTTTGGTCAAAATACCAGTGATTATTTAACAATTATTTGCCGAAAGCGAAGTGAATATCGGGAAATATTTATCGAGATGCGAGTCTTTGAGCGGCGAGGTAAATATTCTCTGATAGCCACTGAGGCTGAGGCAAATAATTGTTTTAGTATAAATACACAGGTGATTCTTTCAAAGGAAAAAAGAAAAAAAAAGAAGATAAAAGACACTTTTTTTCTGGTAACAGCAACAAAGCGGCTGGCTGCCATTTTGGATTATCGCTGGAAGTGATTATTGTGTGATAATGTGAGTTTCTCAACCAATCAGCGCGCAAGATTTTCAATAATCACCTGCATGTTTTTACTAAAAAATGATAATGGCCTTTGGCCTCATTTGCTATTGACTCATATACCATCCCGGCTCGAGGACTAATATAAAAAACACATACTGATTGGACAGTTATTGCACTCTATATACTTTGCTCACACAAAATGGTAAAAACAGGTTTATGATTAAATTAAATATAAAACTCTCACTAGGTAAATATTCACTTCCAATTGGAAAATAATTATTAATTATTAGCATATTTGGTTTGTAATTATTTTTGTATTTTCTGCTTAATATAATTTTTAGGGAGAACCAGTGAAATTTTCTCATATTGGGGCTCTTCATTCCGAATTCATTCTTGTTGAGGAACATAATGGTCTGCTATACCATTGGCCCTACACTGTCGAGAATCAGGATACCATGGAAACTGATACCCTCGAGAGTGAATTGCCAGATGTCGGCATTCCTAAGGCAAAAGTGTCGCCCTTAATCCAGGAGCTAAAACTTGAAGAGGAACAAGTCTTTAAACTTGCAACATATGGGATTAGATGTACTCTTGTTACCAAGTCTGGGAAGATTTGTACTTTTTACGACAAATTCATGAGAGGTATGTATATTTCTAATCCAACTATAGCTATCCAAGCTCGCATTAAGTCATCATTACTTTACGAACGCACTAACCAACTGTTTACTTTACCCCGGCTAGAAGGGTCAACCTATTGCCAGTCACATTTACTAATATTGAGTTGCTTTATCGAATGACAATTTATTTAATACATACAGAATTAGTAGTAATTTATTTTTGATTGCTAATTTAAAAACAATTGAAATTTAAAACTTGCCTCAGTCCCTTGCTACTCTTTGAAATGGCCAATTAGTAATGTTTGTTGATTTATTCACAGAGTGCAATAATGATCAAGTCCCTGCCTTAATACAACAGCTCTCCCACCCCACTGTTTACTTTCCTGAGCTGAGAGGAGACAGCATCATCTCTGTAGACTGTAGTGAGTTCTTTTCAAGTGTGATGACACGTAAAGGAAAGATTTACTGGTGGTAAGTGTGATGAGACATGTGATAAGAACACTGTTCAATCTATGAGCTGTGTGCAGTCTGTGAGTTGGCCATGCCCTGACTTAGATCAGCCCAGAGGTTGTTACAGGGTTGGATCTGTGAGCTAGCCATGCCCTGACATAGATCAGCCCAGAGGTTGTCTCAGGGTTTGATCTGTGTGCTAGCAATGCTATAACTTAGATCAGCCCAGAGGTTGTTAAAGGGTTTTGATAAAATATCAAATAAGACAGATTTTTTTTGAAATAGTGTAGATCTGATTGCCAACTATCTCTCTGTTATCTGTTCTAGGGGACTTCTGCCATCAAAAGAGCGACAAGATTTCAAGCAGAAACTAAACAAAGAAAGCAGCAATAACTGTAGTATCGCAGTTAACAACAAGGTACAACTGCGTAAGCACTTACCTGGCTTTCCTGGTGCTTTGGTCTTCAAGTCGTCAGAAACCTATGGCCCACAACTTGGACGGCTTTTATCCCATGAAACGGAGGAAGGAACAAATCAATCAGCAGTCAAAATCAAAGTTGAACGAGTTCCAAAGGTAGTGACGTCACAGCCAAATTCAGGTTCTGCTTCTCCTATTGTTAATCTGCACTCCAGGGTAGAGAGCCCTCTTCCTGAGGGTGCAGCATCTCCCCTACAGTTAATAGCGCAAGAAGCACGGTCATCCAGTCCTCATACAAGCATTAGAAATCAGACACGCCCAGAAACACCTGTTAAAAGCAACCCTAATGTTGAGACGTGGGATGTTAATGACGTCGTGTTTCTGGAAAGCGAGAGTAAAGTTCTTGGAACAGTTGCAGCCATCGATGGTCCTCATGTCATTGTTAAGGTTGATAATGTGAATATTTCCAGTGATTCATCATTGAGGGTTTTTAAAGTCTCTGAATTAGAAACTGTTATGGAGGACACTGCATTAGAAAATGATGTTGCTTCTACTTCTACCTCTATTACCTCAAGTTCTATGTACCGAGGCTGTATTCAAAGTACCCCAAAATGTATCCTAGATTCTAGTCGGGCATCAAATGCAGCCAATAAAGAGGTTCTTACTGGACTCAATCCCATTGCCATGACAACCACCTCTACAGGGATATCAGTCCTTGTGCAACACAAAGAAAGTAATAAAGCATTCTTTCTTGGCCCGGCTATAGATTCAGGGAACAATGAGAAGGTTTTTACATGTTGTGCAGATTTGACGTTGTCAAGAGCAAATGATGATGCATGTGTTACTGTTGAGTCTGAAAGTGTTGCAAGTGAAGAAGCAGCTTTGACAGCAAAGCCTTTAAAGTCTGAAACCATAGGACAAAAAAGAAAGCATCCAGCGATAGAGGAATCTGATGATAATGGCAACATGTCATCAAGTCTGCATCCTATAGATAATGGCAGACCTACTCTACATAAATCACAAGGGTCTGGTGTTATACTCCTGTGCGACAAGAATGGTTGTTTGTACCCACGGCCGTTTGGTACCAAGCTCTCTGAACCCTGTGCAATTGATCTCCCTCCTCTTCATTGCCTTGGGCTGGGACAGAAGCTTGGATACACAAGCAAGTGTGAGGCAGAGGAAAGGATCCTTATGGCATTTCTTGGTAAGATTCCTTACTGCAGTTTTCAATATTCTGCAAACTTGTTGGTTGCAAGCTGCACACTGAAATTTGTTTTTTGCTGCAGTCATTCAAAAATAATCAGTCAGTACCTTTAATGTTCTTGACTGGCGGCAGTTAAAAGCAGTTGCACTGTATAATGATGATGAAGGAGGAGAAGATGATGGTGATGATGATGATGATGATGATTTAGTTGATGATGATGATGACAATGATAATGATGAGTGTGGTAGTGATGACAATCATGGTGAGGATAATGAAGATGTTGATGATGATGCTGTTGATGATAATGACAGTGATGATGATGGTGATGATGATGACAGTGATGATGGTAGTGATGATGATGGTGATGATGATGACAGTGATGATGGTGGTGGTGATGATGGTGGTTTTGGTGATGGCAATAATGATGATGATGATGGTGGTGATGATGATGATGATGTACCATAATAATAAATGAAAATAACGGTCCATGATGATTGGTCAGGGCTCAAAATGGTGGCTTGCCAATTGCCAAATGGCCAAAATGCAGGTTAAATTTTACTACTGGCAGGCTAAAACATTTTTGACCACCAAAATTAATGGAAATAAAACTGCAGGGAAAATTTTGATCCCAAAAAAAAATGTCCTGCAAAAAAAAAAATGTCTGGTATTTTCTATTTTGAGCCTTGTTTGGGCTTGTTCAACAATAATGGCTGATTACTGAGGACGTAATCCTCACATAACATTTACGTTCCAGTATTCAAAGAACAGAAGTTAATACCGGCCATCCAGTCAGGCATTGTATCCAAAGTCCAAGACGTTCTTGTTTTTATTGAACAATCATGCATGATAACACACAAAGGGAAGACTGCTGCCTGCAACACAGGAGTAAAAAAACTTGCAAGAGAAGCTGATAGCGGCAAGGCGTGGTCACCGAAACCAGCAGCAAAAGAAGTAAGCATGTTTCATAATTATTTTGAAAGCTTTCAGATTATTGATAAAATAGACCATTTCACAGATCCCATTCCTCAACCTCAGCCTTGTCAGCATGTAATATATTCTTTAGAAATTGCCAACAACCTGTGAAATTTTTAGGTGTTTCAATTGTTCGTTGATGTGTAAATTCCTTTCATTACTGCGGACTGTAGTCAAATTCTAAAGAATAATTACATGCTGACGAGACTGAGGTTGAGTAACTGGATCCGTGAAATGGCCTATTGGGAAGGGCCTAAAGAAGATACAGTCCTGATCCCCTTAGCAGTGAAGCATAAATTCACAACTATTTTACCACAAATGTGATTTTTTTTTCACTTTCTGATTAGCAGAGAGATGTGGAAAATAAGAGGACATACCAACCAATTTATGAATCATTCGCACACAGACAGTGCATGCTGAAAAACGTTTTTCTTTCAAACTTTTTGCATGGTTTTTTTTTTGCATGATATGACTCCATCTGGTGGTCAAAATATATTTAGTTAGGCACTCACTCAGCTATGCTTTGTGAGTACATATAATTCTGACCAACTTTTGACATCCTATTTTATTGGGTAAATAAGAGGAAATACATTGTTAAACCATTGGAAATTCATTAATAGACCTCCTTGGCTCTGACGTAATGTTGTTCCATTTCAGACCATGTGTCATTCCCTAGAGTATTATTTCTTTGTTTAAGGTTTGCGCTCAGTTGCACATGAGAAGACACATGAATATGGGTACAACTCAATCAAAGAATATTATTCTCAAGGGAATGACAGGTGGTCTGAAATGGGACAACATTATGCGGAGCAGAGGAGGTCTATTACATCTAGATTAATTATTATTGATTATTATTATTGTGCTTTTAGAACAGTGATGAAGTGCTCAAGACACCAGTATTCAGTCATGAAGTGATGAGTATCATCAACGAACACACAAGCTCAAACCAGAACGTCATGCATGTATGCTGCACAAACCCTGCCTACTTGACAACAGAAGCTCAAGAGAACGAAGCTGTGGATATACTCCTTGCTGAGTTGAACAAAGGTAAACAACTCACTGGATAGTAGTATTGATGGCTTTACTAGGGACCTTAAGGAGAGTGAATAATTTATGGGGTAGGGGGGCTAAGTGGATTTAATATTTTGATTTTTGGAGTGGTGGTCCCCTACTCAAACATACAGTAATACTAAATATCATGGCCTCCCTTTCCCAGTCTATTAAAAGTATTTTTCATGCCCCCCCCCCCTGATTGATACCCCCACTCTCATTGTTATTGGATAAAATGGCTGGACCCCCTCCAAGCCCCATAAAACAGTTTGTTCTGCTTGTGCAGTAGCTTTTGGTAGCATTGTCCTTACTAGAAACCAGAGAATGACCACAGGGCATGGGAAACTGTTTCAGGCATGGAAAACCATCACTCACCATCACACATTGTCATAGTAGTAATAATAATGATAATGATGTTGATGATAATGATGATGATGATGATGATACATGATGATGATGATACATGATGATGTTGTTGTTGTTATTATTATTAATAATAATAATAACAACAACAACAACAACATGATGATGATACATGATGATGTTGTTGTTGTTGATGATGATGATGATGATGATGTTGTTGTTGTTATTATTATTATTATTATTAATATTATTATTATTATTATTATTATTATCATGGGAAACCATCACTCACCATCACACATTGCCATAAAACCAGGTTACACATACAAGCGTTAATTGTAAGTATTTTTTCCAGGTTTATCAAAGTCTACTCCACCTTCAAAACACATTGAAGTAGCTGTTCTTGATAAACTGCTGAACCACAGGATACTGGCAACAAAGTTCATTTCAATGGTATGTCCTGTCGTGTGCAGTGCTGTTTGCAAAGCAAGGGCTACACTTTTTTGATTTAAATTGTGCTTATCAATGTTTTTTTTTGTCAACAGCTCAAGGATCGTGATGCTAAGGGCTGCACTCCATTCATGCTGTCCATTCAATGTCACAACTTCAAGGCGGCACTTTATATCCTAGATTTTGTTGCTAAAAATAAAGGTATATCAACCTCCCTCTCCTCCTCTCTCCATCCTTTCATCCTTCTTTCCCTCCCTCCCTCCTACCATCCTTCCATTCTTCCCTTCATCCTTCCATCCATCCATCCATCCATCCTTCGTTTTATCCCTCTAATCCCCCACCCTTCCCACCATCTCTCTATCCTTTCATCCTTCCCTCCCTCCCTCCCCTCCTCCTTTCATCCCTTCCTCCCTCCATTCATTCTTCCCTTCTTCCTTCCCTCCATCTTTCCATCTTTCCATCCTTTGCTCCTTCCCTCCCTCCCTCCATCTCTCCCTCCCTCCCTCCTTCCTTCCTTCCCTCCATCTTTCCATCCCTCTTCATTCTTTTACTTTTTTATTCATATGGGCATCCATTTATTAGTTCATTCTTTTATCCTTCCATTCATATTTTCTGTCTTCACAATCTACAGGCAAGCAATTTGGTGATTGTGAGATATCACTAGAAACAATGATCTTCCCACCAACCTTCAGTGGTATCACCCCTCTCCATGCCGTAGCTCTGGCCTGCACTGAAAACCTTCCGGCTAGTGGACTTGGAAACAGCTTGACAGTGTCTAACCTTCCTTCTGGATACACACCAAGAATTTTATTGAAGCTGTTCCAATCAAGATATCCATCAGCTTACAGAGCTACGATACCACCACTTGCAGAAGCAAAGAAGGTAGCTCTTTCCTTGCTTGCTTTATTTCTTCCTTTATTTCTTATTCCCTTCCCTGCTTGCTTTTTTGCTTGTTTGCTTCCTTTGTTGCTTGCTTGCTTGCTTGCTTGCTTTGCTGTATCACTGCTGTGTTGCTTCACTGCTTCACTGCTTTGTTGCGTTCTTGCTTCCTTGCTCCTTGCTCCCTTGCTCCCTTGCTCCCTTGCCCCCTTGCTCCCTTGCTCCC